TAACAAAAAAAGTATCGTTATTTTACATGCATAGCGAATCTACAGAATTTAGCGCGGGTAATTGATATAAAAGAATTTAACAGTGCTGTGCAATTGGTTACTGTAAAATGCTTCCAATTGAATGGTAATTTAAAATTAGCGGTGCTTCAAAGCACGTACAATATCGCATTATTTGTAACGATTACCTAACGTTAAAATATTACCTGAACATATATTTGCGTAATTTGATTGCAAAAAGGGTTCACCAAAATAAAGTATGTCTTGTTTCTGTCACACAGTTAGTTTTATCCATTTAAAATGATTAAAGAAAAATACTAGAGCAGTTTATGAGAAAATCATACATGCGAAGACACGCAAAATTACCAGAACACTACTAGTACTAAAATACGTCGTACACGACATTATTTAATGACCATTTTGAAGAATTCATTTCATTTGAAAAAGCTCAATCTTAAGCAATGTAATCGGAAAACAGCGAAAAAAAATATTTACTATTTTCGAAAATACAGAAAAATCGACAAACGGACCTGTGCCATTTTTATGAGTTGCTCTACGTGTGAAAAAAATTGTCGTTTTCTGGCGCACGATTACGTAACTTTCTCTTCTTACGAAGTTCCTTCGTAAGGCGAGAAAGTAAAAATGAAACAAAAACATTTGGAACCATTTTTGAGAAAATTTTAAAACTTTCTTCGGGACTTCTTGTAAACTTTACATATCTTTCCCCCAAACAACTAAAATGTCCGCTTAAAATGCAAAAGACCATGACAGTGGTTCGGAATATCAATGCAAATGCTGCCTGTGGGTCACCAGCAAAAAGTTCACAGGGAAAGACGAACAGACAAACGGACGGATAAAAAAGACTGACAAGGGGACGGCTGAATGGACGGACTTTTGCCGTCAGTCAATTTTTCGGTATCAAGTAAACAAAAAGAATGTTTATGGTTATGCAACGTCTTCTATCATATTTGCTACAAATACGATCACGAATTATCCACTTTTTTAAGTGTCAGCCAACTACAATTCCTTTTCTTACGAAAAATAGACATTTTGCCGCAACAGTCCAGAAATACTTCTCTACTACACAAGTAGTATGCGAGAAAGTAAAAAGCAGTAATGTTGTGGCCAATATTTCTATGTAATTCTATCATTCCTCAACCCGATACAAGCAGCCACTCGATAGTGCTTGCGATGCACTTTTCTTGTTTTCTATATTCTGAAGAAAGCCCTGACGCGGCGAAGGCGTTTGACACAACTTAAAGCGAAACATATAATAAGCGCGTTGTAATGATTCAATAGCACAATATCACAAAAAAGAACAAATGTTCGCAAACATATTTTAAAAATTTAGTAGGTAACTTGTAATATTGTCTAGTGCTACAATTAACTATTAACTATTTTAACTTATTTATGTCCTTTCGTGAAATTAATTATTAAGGAATTTATTAGAATGAACTAGTGGAGCAACAATAGAACATATTTTCTCGAATTATTTGTAACGACTACGCAATAATAATCAACTGCATGAGCCAGAAAAATTATTTCCAACCAGTAATTATTTTTCACGTGCCGGCATTCAAACTGTGGACCTTCGTGCTAACACCCAAGAGATCACCGCTACAACCTCTAACGGGCGCTGAAGTCAACACTCTAGAAACTTGAAACACAAGTTGTTTCTCGTATTATATCTAACTTAATCAATTACAAAATTCAGCGAGTTCAGTAACTGAGGTCAGGGCCATTTTGTAAGCATTCTTTCCTCCATGCAAGCAAACAATTTAAAGATAAAATTTGGAGCCAATTTTCATAATTTCTTTTGTAAAGCAGAAATAATGCAAAAACTATATGTTTTTTCGAAAACAATTGAACAAGACTTAATTTAAAAGTTTTATTTTTAGAACAGATTGTATTGAAGAAAAGAACGCTATGAACTTTATTGTACTTTTGAAATGTTATTTTTTTTTGCAATTTTTGAAATCACAGAGACATTGTCGAAAAAGGAATAAGGAATGAATTTTCTTTACCGTCGTTGTTGTATACGAGTAAAAAATACAGGAGAAAATGGAGCCGTTTTTGTCAAAAGTTGAAAAATGTTGTTAAGGTTTCAAGAACCTCCTTTCCTTTTCTTAAGAAAACATGCATATATTACCATCGCTTATGAGTTTTATTGTGCAAACGCATCTCTAACGCAGCAGCATCAAATTGAAAAAATCATCACGAACAGTTTTACGGGGTCCTGGGGAGGTGTTGTCTGAAGGTCCGAGCATTTGGGCCCTGCCTTATTAAGAGCGCCGCCGCTCGACGCGCAGTACGTCCGCAGAGGGGCGCCCTCTTTTTCCTCCCGGCGAAATTAATTCGGCACTCCGCCGCCGTCGCCGTCACGCACACGGGACCAAGTGGGCCAAAACACTTGTGGACAAAAAACATACACTACTGTGGGAATACATTTTTTTCTGAGTCGGTTACCGAGCACCTCTGCCTTCTCCACGGAGTCACATTCGACACAGTTGTAGAACCAATGGAGATGGATTGATTGATTGATTAATAATTCCGGAAGCGTCAACTGCTAAAGCCAATAGTTTTGTAAGTGTAGCGCTTGTTTTTATTGCTTTCTTACCCCGCTGGGTGGCGAGATCAGACGCCGACCTACCCGCATGCGGGAATTTTCCTCGACAAAGTACCCGCCTCAGCCGGGACAAGATCTAAGCTCTGACTGGTCTTACGACAAGGGCGGTAGAGCAGTGCATGTAAGTGTAAGTGTGTGTAAGTAAGGGGATGAGGAAAGGACAAGGAAGAGTACGGAAAGACCGCGAGCGGTCCGTGGCCCGTTTGTTAGGCTAGTGTTCCGGCATTTGTCTGGGGTCGATCGGAGAAACTACGGAAAACTACCGATCAGAGCGGCCGACAGCTACAAGCCCTCTTCAGTCAACGGGTGAATTACCTAGCTCTCCTGCTAATGTCTAAAATTCACTTCGAGGACTCTAACCTTATGATCTCCCGGTCAGAGGCACTGCAGTGATACCAGTTGATACTCTCAAGTGGAGGTGGCGTGTGCAATGGAGTATTATGTGGCTGTTGTAGATATAAAACGCTGTTCAGCGTGTCTTAGAATAAATATGACACGTCTGTACAACATGTAAAGTGGTCATACTTCGTTACGTTTTGCCAATAATCATGTAGTGAATAATCTCATATAACGAAGATACAATTTCTCCCGATTGGGAGGTAACTTGTAACTTCAACTCTTAAACTGATGTTGGAGAGACAGTACGTGCACTTGTAACACACTCGTGCCCGAGGTATCGCCTAAGAATCTGGGGAAAATGTCACGTACCTAACTCCGATACATGCGATTTCGCATCGTATTTTTACTGGTCACCTTCGATTCTCCTTCATACGTGACTACATATTCCTACATAACGACGTTTGTAACATTCATTCTGCGGCACTGTAATGTCAATTGTCGTGGAGCTGTGAAGATTGAAGGAGCAATTTGCGTCATTTCAAGAAAATCAAGCTCAAATGCGGCTTCTGAGCAAAATTCTAAACTCTCTTATTGTCCCACCTAAATATTCATTATCTACTGGATGGTCCTATAGCGATACGCGTGCCCATATCATATGTAAAATACTCTGAAAGGAGAGTAATAAATGTCTTGGCTGAAATACAGGCTGCTAGACATCTAGCGATAAATGATATCTGCTGAGATGCTAAAACCAGCGGAAAACATATTCGAGTATAATTCAACACATTGTTTAGTAATAATAATAATAATAATAATAATAATAATAATAATAATAATAATAATAATAATAATAAATAACCGGCTCTGTGGCACAGAGGGTAGCGAAAGACGTCATCTGCACTGAGGAGCCTGCAGGTTCAAGACCTCCGTAGGCATGGTCGTAATTGCGATTGTCCTTCACCTCTCATTATCATCCGATCACCCCATAATTCACATTCCAAGGCGCAACAATCTTGTCTTGTTACGGGATACAGCCGGTAAAGCTGACGCCCCTAATTACACACGTTCATCTCTTCGGCGCCTCGGAAGATAACGTGTAGCGTGGTCGTAAATGGTCAATACGCTAATAATAATAATAATAATAATAATAATAATAATAATAATAATAGTTTAGAGTTAAACAAAAGTTCAAAACTTCAACCTAACCCGTTGCTTTTGGCCCATTTGTTCAGAACCAGCCCTCAGCGCCTTCACGGTAAGCGCGAGCGTCGAGAAGACTACAACTAGAGCGGCGCGCGCCAGAGCACCGTTATTACCGTCGCCGCTGACGTCCTCGTTATTACGGGCGGCGCAGCGGCGGCGCCGTGGGCGGGTGGCGGAGTGTAACGGGAGGCAAAGGCGACTGTTGAGGCAGAGATGGAGGTGGATGCAAGATGCAGGCGACGTGGAGGCAGAGTGAAGGCGAGATGATGCGATGGAGGGGAGATGGAGGGGAGAGAAGGAGGGGAGATGGAGGGGAGATGGAGGGGGAGATGGAGGGGAGATGGAGGAATGGGAGGGAGATGGAGGGAGATGGGAGGGGGAGATGGAGGGAGATGGAGGGAGATGGAGGGGAGATGAGGGGGAGATGGAGGGGGAGATGGAGGGAGGGAGATGGAGGGGAGATGGAGGGGAGATGGAGGGGAGATGGAGGGGGAGATGGAGGCGGAGATGGAGGGGAATGGAGGGAGATGAGGGGGTGGGGGGAGAGTGAGCTGGTGGCGGAGATGGTGGCGGGATGCGTTGGCGGATGACTGGGGGTGGCGGAGATGGTGGGAGAGATGTGCGAGAATGGTGCGCGGAGAAATGGTGGCGAGATGTGGCGGAGATGGTGGCGGAGATGGTGGCGGAGATGGTGGCGGAGAGATGGTGGCGGAGATGGTGGCGAGATGCGTGGCGGGAGATGGTGGCGGAGATGGTGGCGGAGATGGAGGGGGAGGGGGAGGTGTAGTTGGAGACGGAGGCTGAGGAGAGGGCCGAGCGCGGCGTTGGGGCTCACCTCCGGAGGCGGCTGGCCGTGGACGATGCACACGAGCTGCGCCTCGTAGCCCTCCCCGGAGTGCACCCAGCTCCGCTCCACCTCGATCTCGGGCGCGTCTGAAACCACAAAGCGAAGCACGCGATTAGCACGCACGCTTCAGCGCAACCGACGTTTCGGCAGGCATTGCTCATCTGTCAATCACGCACCTCCATGAAAATCGGAGCTGATTGGTAGGAAAACCAGCATATGACTACATATAACAAGAACAACCTCAACAACAACAACAACAACAACAACAATAATAATAATAATAATAATAATAATAATAAAAGCAGAATGTAACATCAGTAATTTTATCAACGGCCACCTCTATTGTCAGTGAATTGTAAGACGAGCAAGGCATATTAACATGATCCAATATACGTATAAAAGTAGAATTTTCTCAAGAAGGCTCAATAAAGAAAAGGTATAAACATTGGAAATTTACAACTTATGTATTAATTTAATTTAGGTAACAGTTATCTCAAAAACATTTGATAGCCAGTGTAAGGTGTTAACGATCAGGTTCAATTTATGAAACGAATTATTGTAAAAGAATATAGTGTGGAACGTTTACAATTAAAATGTAATGCAAAAAATAATAAAAATATCTGTAAAAATCTGACAAATCATTCATTTAATTTCTTAAAATTCTCTTACATATGCGTATGCAATGCTTCGGAAAGTGAAACGTTCTTTGAAGTTCAAAGATCTGCCATTCAGAAAATTTTGCAAACAACTTATTTTAGTGTTAGGTGCTCCTCGCCAATTAACATGACTGATTTATAAAGGTATTCAAATAGTACGTGTGTATTAAACATCAGTTAAGCGTTTTAAACCCCTTAATGTGCTCTTTATTCGTCTTCAAGATAATTTTGCCTTTGTGGGGAAGTATATGAGAATTCTAATTAATCGATTTTTTTAAATTTCATATACTAGTTATTAAGGAAAACCAAAAAACTTACGTAATAAAACCTCATTATGAGAAATCATATTTTCTTAAAGTATCACACCTCCATCCAAACGATATCTAAATTACAACAATAAAAAAAATAAAGATTCAGTTCCATAAATAAGAAAAAAGATATAGTACGTTTAACTTTATCACAAACCGTAAAACCTGTTAAAGATTTTGCGTAGGTAATCATTATTATGTTTTGTCTGTAATAAATTTCCCAGAGATAGTTCAGTGTTAAATATTCTATTCTTTTTCTAATATTAAGATTAATATTTCCTCTTATTCCAAGAAGAGGCACATGACAAAACATTGAAAAACATTTCTTGATAAAAATAAAAATACTATCACTTTTAATTTACACAAAAAATAATTTGAATATAAACGAAGTGCATAGATTTAGATCGTACGAAAACTTCCTGAGATAGTCCAGGTTACCTATCTGACATATGGCATTGTATTTAATAATTCGAAATACTTGATTTAAAACATTATAATACGAACAACATACTAAGAGGAAACTTGCATCCTAGTAGCAACAATTGCAATATTAATTTTTATTATTTACATTTTTCTCTTCAAATATCACCATAGACATCCATACCATAGATGTCATAATACTTTAGATGACTCTGATACCTAACGCTAGTCTTGAAAGTGGTAAAAAGCAAATTCACACACCCCGAACATCGGATAGTACCTGTATCTTCACATATTGGAAGTTGTATTTCATCAAAAACAAGAACAATCTCTTACATATCGTCTTTTTTTGGCCTCCTAATAGTAGAAATTTGACTGAACGAATACTGTAGAAAAGTAACATCTACATGCAAATTTTTCTTGCAAAATTTGGAGCCATTTTTGAGATAACCTTGTTTTGGTTTTTTAACATTACCCTTATATCAATCAAAATTGAGCTGAAATTATTATTTTGAAAACTGATCATGGAATTAATTAAAGAACTGAATTGGAGAACACATTTCATTTCAAGAAAGACTATCTTCAATATAGTAGTTGTAGAAAGACGCCGAAAAATGACCGTAACCATCAGGTATCCTTAACACGTGTATTTGCGTTGAAAGCGCAATTTTCGATTACACGATTTTCTTTAGAATTATCTCTAAAACTGCGATATTACATCGTTTATACGTACGTTTACGAGAGAGTAAAAATGAAACTATAAATGTTAGAGAAAATGTTACTGACTATAAATGTTCACGCTCTAGATGTAGCATGTATCGCACCTTTACGAGAGAGACCAGAAGTGTTCAATTAGCAGATCGATTTAGTGTTCAGAACAAGCGAAATTACCTAACATAATTACTTGTTTACAGTAGTCTCCGAGTCTTGTGTACAAATCTCAACCTTGGAATACGTTATTAAGCTTTTGCTTGGCACCGGCGAAAATGTCCGGTAGATGAACGAGTTTATTAATACTGGAGGAAAATTTCGGAAAAGGCAAAATGCATTTAAATGAGTATATGCAGATTCTGAGCGAAAGTGGGCCAATAAAACATCTTTGTTTGCTACATTAGTAAAAATATAATATTTTTCATACAAATAATTTTGTCCCCGTTTGCCGACTATTTCCTACTCAATTGTAGGTGTACTTTAAGGTTTTTGCAACGATTTGAACCCAATTCGGAATAATATATCTCGTCTTCATTGCGAATACTCTTGAATATTTCTGTCCTACTCATTTAGCAGAACTCCCCATTCAATTTTCATACGTATCAATCTTCATTTCAGCATTGCTTCGTCTTATCACATTCTTAATTCATATGTCTTTTCTCCGATGCCTTAATGGCCTGATTTTAAAATTTTTATCCTTGTCCGACTTGGTCCTTTCTAACTTAACTATTCATCATCCCCCTCTTCTCTCTCTCTCTCTCTCTCTCTTTCGTTGGTCACATTATTTCAATATTCCTCTCAACTGCACACTATTCAAACCGTCATTCCCTTAAGTGTTTGTGACCTTCATAGGATCATTTCATCTTCCTCAATACCTCCCGGTTCCAATCCACTGCTGTATCTTCTCCTGCATCTCATCTGCGTTGTTTTCTTGCCCCCGGAGACTCGCAGGCCCCAACACTTCTTAATCGCGCCTACAGTCGCTTCCTCCAGAGGCCCGCGTATCCTTCTAATGACTCCGCTTAACGTGCCCCCCACTTTCGCACACCCGCACTCGTTCGAGCGCCGCCCACGCCCTTCTCCCGCCCCTCCGCCACGTCGGCCCAGCCCTCCGGCCCCGCGTTGCGCCCGCGTCTGCCTCTGCTACAATCCCCTGTCCGCGCCGCCACGCACTATTTCGGTTGGTCCCTCTACGCCACATCCTGCTTCTCCTTGAACCACTGGACCACGTCCCGCTTCCCCTCGTCGCGCTTCCCCCTTCCTTTCGTCCAGCTTTCAATCTTCCCGCTTCCTCTGGCCGTCCCGCTGCTTCCCTTGGCCATATTTCCGTTCGCCCTGCTTTCCCTTCCCCTCGCTTCCCCTCGTCCCGCTTCACCAGACCCGCTTCCCGCTTCTCCTCGTCGCGTTTCCCATCGTCCTGTTTCATTTTGCCCTACTTCTCCTACCTCTGCTTTCCTTAGTCCTGTTTTCCCTCGCTCCACTTCCCTTCCTCGTCCTGCTTCCCCTGGCCAATCCTCTTCCTCTTACCTTGTCAAGCTTCACATCGTCCCGCTCCCCATTGTCCCGCTTCCCCTTTCCCCTCTTCCTTGTGACGTCACGCTTCGTCTAGTGCCTTCTCCCTCGTCCCGCACTCCACACATGGCAGCGCCCCACCGGTCGCCCCGTACCACCATTCACCCCCCCCCTCAAGCCGCCCTCGCGACGCGCGCCCCCACTTCGCTCGCCAGCGCGCGCGCGCCTCTAATGCGCCCTGCATTATTAAGCGCGGCCGTTTTAATTCCAGCCGCTGCCACCGCCGCCACCCGCCCACGCCTGGCCGTCCGCCCGGCGTCCTCGCGCCGCCGTGATGCGGCAGTGGGAGCGGAGGGAGGGGAGGGGAGGGAGGGGAGGGAGGAGGAGGGAGGGAGGGGAGGGGGAGAGGGGAAGGGGAAGGAGTGGGGAGGGGGAGAGCATGCAGTCGCACGCGAGTCGAGCACCGGGCGGAGCGACGTTCCTTCCCCTCCCCCCACCCTTCCCACTCTGCTCGCGGACGCGTCGGCCGGCACCAGTCCTGCAGCAGCGGAGTGCCTCTCCCACCACTGCGATGGAAGCCGGCCGCTGATGGGGTTCTGGTCGAAATGGTAAAACATTGAAAGTGCATCGTGGAATGTGCGGAGACCGAGCAACGCAATATTCAAGGAACTATTACTCAAAGGGGAATGTTGTTGTCGATTTCCTTGGTTGCATGTATGAAGTGTTGCAATTTTTATTTAGTAGTGGTCAATGTATCGTTTGGTGATTATCGACAATATGTTGGTCATTAATAATGGAAGTTGTTGGCCTGTTGATGAATAAACTTTGTCAGTAGTCGTCATTAACGAAAAACTAAAAAGATGAGTATTTATTAGTTTCAGCGGTAGTGAGGGTACCGAAAATTGTGCTAAGAAAGTTCGACAACATGTAGAATTTCGAAGTCAAGTGATGCAGGATGGCTAAAAGTGCAAGGACGATGAAACTGTGAAATGCACAACGATGATAGTAAATGTAACATGTGTCTTGGCAGTAATGGCATTAGGAAATTCGCAGAAAAGAACGTGGAACATCAGACTCTTGATACATACCGAGCAAGTGCAATGTGAAACCCCTGAGGATGGGAGGAGGATAATAGGTTCCTAAAGGTGAAAAAACCAGCTTGAAGCTTCAAGGCTGGAGGCAAAACGGCAGCACCTGCCCAAAGCCGCCGTCTCTCCCCCTCCTCAGACACCGCCTACTCCCGCAGTCAATGCAGACGCACCAGGCCCCGCAGCCGAACCTCTCGGCGACTCCGCAACCCTCCTTCCACTTCCACTTCCGCCTTCCACCATCCTCTCCTCGCGCGCTCAGCGCGCGGATACCGGCGGCGCAAGGCACGGCGGCGCGAGAGTGGTGGATTAAAATATAGCGTAATTTGGTACTTACACGGCCCGGCCTGCTGATGTTGCTAAACCCCAAGCCGGCCATCGCGCCGCCAGA